CATTTTCCCAATGCATAGGATCTCATGTCATGAACACAGCACAAGTTAAACATTCTACTATTAAAAGACATTTTGGTAGTTTCCATTTGGGGGGCCATTATAAGTAAAAAGACTGTCAGCGTTACAATCCATGCCTCTAACACATTTGCAGATTTTCTAGGGGTGTGTAATTGCTGAGCCATTGGTGATAGCCACCTGCAACCTGAATAGATTATACACCACTATTTCCCACAGTAGTTGGACAATGGATATTTTCCATCAGTTCCACATTCCTCACCAACACTGTTCTCATTGTGGTTGGAACTTCTGTGACACTGATTTCTGATGAAGTTGAAGAACTTTTCACATATCTTTCAGCCATCTGCTTCCTCTTCTGTGAAGACTATTTTACCAATTTTAGGGAGTAATCTTATTTTTGTCTCATTGGAGACCTTTATATATTCTGGGTACTACCAATCATTTGCTGGTTATTTGTGATGCAGTCAGTTTCTCCCACTTCATGACTTATCCCTCTCAATTTTGATGAACAGAGGTGCATCATTTTAATGGAGTTAAATTTATCAATCTTTGCTTAGAGTAGTACTTTTGATGTATTTAGAAATCCTTTCCCACCATGAAGTGGCAAAAATATTGCCCTACCTATTTTTTGTAAGTATTTTAAGTTTGCACTGCTGTATTGACGTCCTTAATCCATCTGGAATTGATTTTTTACATATGTGAGACACATCCAATTTCATTATTTCTGCTTAAGAAAAACCAATTATATTTGCCCCATTTTAAAAAAAGGTTCTTCAATTCCCCATTGACAAATCTTTAATTTATCAAGTTACCTAGCTATGTGGATCTGTTTCTCGGTTCTCTATTCTGTTTCACTGGTTATTTGCCTACCTCTGTTTTTAAATCCACATTGTCTTAATTACTATAGATATTTATAATAAGTCTTACATTAAGCAAGCTCACCCACCTTCTTCCTCTGCTCTTTATTTTTGGCTCTTTGTTCCTTCATACAAATTTTAGAATTTTATTAAATTCTACTCAAAAATCCTACTGAAATTTTCATTGATATTGCATTAAATTTACAGATCAATAGGGAAAATGCATATGCCCGTGATATTAAGTCATTCCAGCCACTCATGAACACATGATCTAAATGGGAGTGAATATCATTCCCATTTAGATCCACTTTCACTTTCAATGAGATTCTTAAATTTTCTCCATAAAGTTTGATATCAACTTTATGGATATCAACTCTATTCAAGTTGATATGTACAGTTTGCTGTACATATATTTCTTGGAGCATGATTTTTGGCTGTCAATTTTACTCTTGACAGTGGCACTTTTTAGAATTATTTCATCTGTTTGTTATTAATCTAGAGAAATACAATTGACTTTAATATCCTACATCCAGTGAACTTTCTAAACCTCCTGATTTTTATAATTTATATGTAGACACTTGAGTTTTCTGTACGGATAATTATATCACAGTGAGAGTTTTCATCTTTTTCTATCTCTATACTTTACACTTGTTCCTGTCTTCTTGCATTGCTTAGCATTTCCGGTACAGTGTTGAGCAGAAGCTCTGATAATGGCATCTTTCCTCTTGTTACTAGTTTTAAAGGAAATGCTTGTTTTAAATTTGACCTCTTGCTATGATGTTAACTATATGTTTTCTGTATATACTTTTTGTCAAGGCAAGAAAGTCTTCTGTTACTAGTTTGTTAAGCGCTTTTGATCATGATTAGAAGTTGAATTAGTAAAATTCTTTTTCTTTATCTATTGATAAGAACATGTATATTTTCTACCATGAATGCAGAAAGTGGATACATTTGTCTAATATAGACACAATCTTGCATTCCTAAAATAAGGAATCTAATCTAGGCATTTTTCTATGGAGAGTCCATAGAGGCTGGATATCAGAGTAGAACTATCTGCTTGCAACTCACTAAACAGTACAACGCTAATCCTACTTGTTCACCTCAGGACCCTATTTTCTCTATGGCATCATTCCAGATTCCAAACTCAAGCTTTCTCTAAGTCCTTTTGATGATGTTCATTTGACACTTGGCATGTGCAATTCTGTATCTTGTTTCCCAGTTAGAAAACTGGTCCTCACAAAGCAGCAGCTAGTAAAAACACACATTTGCTTAAAATTCTTTAAATAGCCTGTAGATAAATGGTGAGAATTGAGTTGGATTGTAATGCAGCATCCACAGAAAATGAGATTCCTGGAAATATGAGCTTTCTAGAAAGCTATACTTTGAATTTTTAAAATCACTCTAAATTATACTCCACACTTCTCTGCTTTGTTCAGTTTTCTGGACATGCTTTATTTCTTTATTTTAAGCATAATTTAGCTTTTTGTCAGTGAGCACAGTCAACTATTGGGAATATCAGTTGTGGTATTATGCTAAAGATACTGTATGGATACATAAGTGTAGTTAATAGCCCTAAGTGAATCTTTAACAGGGTGGGAAAGACTGGCATTTCTCCCTTATTGGCACTGTCCTCTCATTAAGTCTCAGCAGCTATTCATATTTTCCCTCCTCCATTCTCCTACTCTGTCCACTTTCTTTTACGCCAGAGTTACACAATACAGAGCTGTAGGACTGATACATTTTTAGCAGGGATACTGTAAGAAGTTACAAGTTTCCTCAGATTACAACAACTTCCAATTTGTCGTCTCTGTAACTACTACAAGCTGACCTCATCCCTGCTTCTGATCTCTGGAGATTGCACGGCATATCGAGGAGTTAAGAACACAAGACTGGAGTCGGGCTGCCTAGATCCAAATCGCAGTTTGACATTTCCAGGTGAAAGTCCCATAACAAGTTACTTAGGTCCTCCGTGGTGGCTCAGGGATTAAAGACAGTGCTAGTAAGCTATTGCCAGCCACCTCAGCAGGAATTCAATCCCCTGCTGGCCAGGAACAACCCACATGGGGCACAGCAGACCTGTCCTGGCTCAACCCCTCTCCCAGCAGTGCATTTCAGTGGATCCACCTGTTCTGCTCCCCACTCTGTCTCTGGTGAATCCTCTCACCCCCTGCACCACTGGTCTGCACCCCTGTTCTTGTATGCATAAATAAATAAATCTTAAAAAAAAAAGTTACTTAACATCACACTGCTCCTCAGTGTCCTTATCCATATAATAAGAATATATATCTGATTGTTAAGAGAATTCAATGAGTTAACATTTATAAAATGCTTATAATGTAGCCTGGAGCATAGTATTATATACATATTGTTAAACAAATGGGTAAAATATTGTCACCTTAAACTCTTCCATTCCCTTGAGAAATACTGAAGTAGTTTTAAGAGACTCTCTGGCTCTTAAAACTACTTCAGTATTTCTCAATTTTGGTTGTTGATGTACTGGTGGTGCTGGTAGATTGCTAAATGGTCCTATCACTCCTATCACTGGTCAGGGCCTGTGACAGACATGGAAGGGAAGGGGGAGAGGAGTATCAGCATTCACCATTAGGTTAAAATCAGCATAGATTAGGGCCTCCCCGGTGGCGCAGAGGGTTGAGCGGCAGCGCTGTGAAGCTGTCCTCAGCCTCTGCAGCGCTGGTTCCATTACTGGCCAGCCAGGGAGATTCCCATATGGCCCGGCAGACCTCTCCTGTCTTGCCCTGCTGCTCCCCTCAGCAGTGTATTTCGGTCCTTCTGCCTGTTCTGCTCCCTGGTCTGTCTCTGGTGAATTCTCTCACCCTACTGCGCCTCTAGCCTGTCCCCCAATGCTTGCATAAATAAATAAATCTTTAAAAAAAATCAGCATAGTTTAAGAAAATGGAGCAGTTTATTTAATCAGCTTAACAGAGCTCTAAGGATATATGTAACTGTTGGTTTCAAATATTTGTGGGGCTGGGAAGAAGAGGAAGCATTTATAATTCTGTGGAAAAGACAGAGGCTCCCCATGAGTGAACATGTGTAAGCAGGGGGATTGGTGACTAGGTGTCAAGGATGCTGTAAGAACTAACTTTTTTAATTTAAGATTCCTTCTACCTCTAAAATCCTAGCAGTACTAGCGTGAGTCATAAAAACACTACAATCTAGCTGTGAGTCACACATCACCAACGTGCTCCTGAAGGCGCACAATTCTTCACTTCCCACAGTGCTTGGCACTTTGCAACAGAACTAGGTGAGGAATTCTAGCCCTCAGGCTGCATATAACTTGCTCAGAAAAACAAAAGCTTCTCTAAAACCAAGCGCATCAACTAGCTGATTCCTGATTCCTGTTACGACCAAGAGATACAATAAAGCACACATCCCACCTGGGATTTGGCAAAAAGGTGTGTATCTAGATTAACTAGCAGATAGCCCTTCACTTCACTCGCCGAGGCCAGGCCTGACAAAGGCCAACAGAAGAGAGCAGGCAGGTTAAAGGGAAGGGGCAGGATGGTCAGGGGTGAATGGGAGAAGGGCACCCGACACACACGCAGGGAAAAGGACAAAGAGGAGCACGCTGGACTTGGAGGCCGGTGGGAATGCCCCAGCCGGAACGCCCCGACTGTCCCGGGGTGCACTGGGGGTTCAAACGTTTGCCAGCAGTGGATTAAATAAACAGTGGCAGCGAGGAGGTCCCCTGAGTTCCGGAGAGGGCCCCTAAGTGCCAGTGTGGGACCCAGCGGAGAGGGCCTCCCTGGGCCGGGGACCACCAGAGCGGCGCCCCCAGGCAGGTCTGTGGGGTCGGCGGGCTGCGCACCTGCCCGCGGGGCACTCGGGTCAGCCCTGGGCTCGCAGCCCCGCAGCCTGCTTGCAGCTCAGCCCACTCGGCCTCGCTGCTGGATTTCGGATGGTCCAGACCCCCCCAACCCCCGCCTCGGCCGAGGCCTGTCCCCAAACCCCAGCCCGGCGGTTGGACACCGACGCCAAAGTCCGCGAACGGAATGTGGGGCAGCGGCTGCCTCGCCCCGGCCCGGCCCGGGTCGGGCGAGGGGCCGCCGCCATCGCGGGCAGCGGCCGGGGCGAGACGAGGGGTCGGGCCAGGCGTTACTTTACCTGAGAAACCAGGGGGAGCAGCGTCTGCTCCACCGAGCGAGTTTTGATCTCCAGTCCCGAGTCCAAGGCGAAGCCCGACGGGCCGGAGCCAGGCACTGCCCCGGCGCCGCAAACGGCGGTGGGGCCCGGAGAGGCGGCCATGGCCCGAGGCTGGTTGCGCAGCCGGGACACCGCGCCACCGCGGCCCGTCGCCCGCCAGCCAGCAGCCAGCCCGCCCGCCGCCGCCGCGGGGCACCCGCGCCGCCCGAGGCCCCGCCCCCGCCGGGCCCCGCCCCCGCGCCCAGGGGTAGGTCCGCCGGGGCCCCGCCCCTAACCTGGGCCCCGCCCCCTCCGTGCTATGCCCCGCCCCGGGGTGTCTCCCGCTGCTCTTCCGAAGGGCGCCGAGCAGGGTTCGCCGCGTTAGCGCAGAGAAACGGGACACCTGAGGGTCTCCGCGGTCACGTGGCCTTTTACCAGGACGTGGACTGGACAACCATCCCCAGAGAGGTCTCCCGACCTGGGCAGATTATTCGTCCTAACTACGATTTCTGGAAGCTGCGCTGGGGTTGAAACTGGTAGCGCAGACCCAATCGTTCTGTGGACAGAGACTTTAACCCTGTGATGGGCATTCTAAAGGGGTGTCTTTCTGGGGTTTCTCTGTGAGGTCACATTTCGCCTTCATCCCAGTGCTTTTCTGATCCTTCTCATAAACATTGTGAGCTGGAGTAAAGATGAAAACATTTGAAGTGTAGCTGGGTACTTGGCAAGAAGATAGTTATCTGAGTAACTTTCAGGCTACGGTTTAGAATTACTCCTCAAAAGAAAATTAAATACAGCACATGGAAAAGCTTCACCCACTGTTTAACACTTAAGATTTTAAAGCTGCTCTTCACAATTACTTTTCCCCTAGTGCCTATTACAGAGCAATTTCTGAATACTGTTCATTGAAAGATCACTAGTATGTAATGATATTGTTACAGGGCAGGGAGAGGCACCCCAGACCCCACAAACCTGCCTACTCTAAATGGATTCTGCCATCCATCAAATCAACACAAAACATGTGAGACTTTAATGGGAAGGAACTTTAATACACTTAGTAAACAATACAGGAAAGGCAAAGAATCTAGTTTCTCAATCAAGCACCCAAAGTTATCTGTCCCTTCGTGGGTAAAACTCCATCCAAATGGGATTGGCACAGAGCAAGGCCCCAAAGCCTGCCACAAGTCTAAAGCATCTTCCAGTGGGGACCCACAGAAAAGGATCAGAAGCAACCAGACAAGTCTGGAAGGAAAAAAGCAAAATCAGAATCAAGACAAAAACTGCCATTGTCACTTCCCCACGGGTCTCTCACCCACATCTGTGTCACCCAGTCCACCACCAAAAGCCAAGCGCAGTTTCTTCATGTGTCTCTCGGCTCCATGTGCCTCCTCCAGGTCTCCTTCTTGCTCTCCATCCTGCTTCCTTCCCTCCTCACTCTGCAGCTTCTTCTCTCCCTGCTCAGCTCCAACCTCCTTTTTTGGGTGGGGCAGGGAACTTGGAACCTCCCCCTCCACCCTGTTACAATATGACTAAATTCATTTAATACTAAGGGCAAGAATCATGAGCCCCTGAGTGATTGGAATGGGAGATAGATTCACACCCCTAACCCTGAACTCCCTTTTTCCAAAAGCAAAGCCAGAAAGAAACACACACCCTGAAGGGTTTGAAAACCACCAACTTGAGGTATCAGAGAGCTGTTTCCCAAGCACTGTTAAGGTCTTAAACAGTACCTCCATTTGTGTGTTCAGGTCTGTCTGTGAATGCTGCAGATTCTGTGGTATTGAAGAGAGCTACAAGCTAGGCTTCTTCATTCAAAATGTGCAGTTTTTTTTTTTTTATAGAGGCATGTTTTATTTATTTATTTATTTATTTATTTATTTATTTTATTTGTTTGTCTGCTTTGTTTATACATGCACTGGGTACAGTCAGAAGCTAGGGAAGGTGAGAGAATTCACCAGAGCCAGAGCGGGGAGCAGAGCAGGCAGAAGGACCGAAGCACACTGCTGAGGGGAGCAGCGGGCGGCAGGAGAGGTCTGCGCGCCATGTGGGACCCTCCTCCGGTGGCCGGGGAGCAGCCGGGGATCAAACCGGCGACACAGAGGCCGCGGGCAGCTTCGCAACCCAGCGCTCAACCGCTGCACCACCGGGGAGGCCCAAAATGTGCAGTTCTTTTAATCCAATTTCTAACCCCCCTCCATTCCTAGTGAGCCACCCACCTTGTCACAAGACCACAAGACCACCTCCCCTACGCACTAAGGGTCTACCACAAGACCTCCTTATCTACCACAAGACCACCTCCCCTATGCACTAAGGGTCCCACCTTCAGCCCTGGACCCTTTCAGCTCTTTTAAGATGCTTCCTCTCATCTTCCCTCATATAAGATGCCATATTTCATAAAGATCCAGTGTGGACAATGGTACCAAAGGAAAAGGCAAGATACAAGGTCAAAGAAACATGCGTATGTATTTGTAAAGGTTTGACATCATTAAGATGAATTTTTTTTAATTTTTTAAAAAAAGATTTATTTATTTATTTATTTATACAAGCACTGGGTACAGTCAGAAGCGCAGGAGGGTGAAAGAATTCACCAGAGCCAGAGCAGGGAACAGAACAGGCAGACTGACGAAATACACTGCCGAGGGGAGCAGTGGGCGGCAGGAGAGGTCTGCGCGCCACGTGGGACCCTCACCAGTGGCCGGCGAACTGGCGCTGCAAAGGCTGTGGGCAGCTTCGGGGTGGCACTTTTTTTTTTTTTTTAATTTAAGTGCTTTATTTCCTCTCTAAATCTTTTTTAAAAAAATTTTTTTTACATCATTGTTCATTTTTAAACAATATTTGTTTCCCCCACCCCCTCAGGTATAGTCCCCATAGAATTTCCTTCCCCAATGCACCCATGCACCATCACCACAGTCTCCTATGCTCCACCCTCCCTCCCTCTGATCCCTCTCCCTCCTCCTCCCCTGCCCTATGTCTCTGATTTATAATTATCTGTTTTTGCTTTGTTGCGTTTTGTACTGCTATTATTTTTTTACACTGATGTCTTATTTGGTTCCCCTATATAGCTGCTATAAGTGAAACCATCTGATACTTTTCTTTTTCCCTCTGACTTATTTCACTGAGCATAAATCCTTTTAGTTCCATCCATGTTGCTGCGAATGGAATGAGTTTATCTTTCTTGATTGCTGAATAATATTCCATTGTGTATATATACCACATAAGAGGAAATTTTTCAACAGAAATAAGACTAAGTTCATCAATGGATTCATTCATTACTAGTACTTTTATTTCAAAATATAAATACTTTACATTTACAAAGAAGTTCTGTCAGTAGGTTATCAAAGCAAGTTAAAGCAAAGAAGCATTTGGGTGAGAAGAAAGAATATGTATTATTTTTTACTTTCAAACATCTCTACTTTGCCTGAGACTGCAAAGATGATACATTTTCAAAAAGTTATGTAAGCAATTACAACTATATATCCAATCTTGGTTTCAAAATCAAATATGGAAATACAATCCAGTCACCTAAACAGACAGCACTACCAAGGACAAAGAAAGATTTTCTTTGGGCTAGCCATAATAAAATTTTCATTTTCTGGGCCACTGCAATTAAAAAAAAAAGTGATATTTGATAATAAACCAAAAGATGTCACTATACGATTTGTTTCTACACCTTTCATTGAAAATATAAAGCTGGAAGAAAAATAAGAAACCAAGTATGGAATCAAGAATTCTGGACTTGAAGTCAGAAATCCTGCAACTGAATTCTGGCTCCATCATTTTGTGATACAAACTTAAGGGAGAAAAAGAAAACTTTCTGAGTCTCCAGTGCCTCATGTGATAATACTTTACACCAGCCCACCTCACAGGGCTGTTATGATAGTCTGAAAACTATAAAGTGCCATACAAAACCATTATTAAAACATAATATCAATATATCACCACTTTATTTGCACATTATTTGATCTTTAAAAAACTTGCAAAACTCAACACAAATACTGATTTTACACACCATAGGTGGAAAAGAATCTCTACACTTTACGTATAGCTCTGAACAGCAAATATTTTCTTACTGGTATCTCACTAAACTTTGAGGCTTATTACAGTTTACGTGGTACCATGGAAAAGATTTAACAATCAGAATTTCCACAAAGGATGTCTTCTAAAAGAGTTGTAAACTTATAATCATATTTCCCAAGGACCTAAAGTCCTCAGAGATGCTCTGAGAAAAGGAGGAAAGGGATGCAGTTTAAGGTCAATTAAGTAAACAGTCTTTGTCTCCTCTTATAAATTCACAATATAGGATGACATGTTAAAAACTCTTACAACTCCTACATAAAGGACTCAGCATTCTTCAGTTTTAATTAATCATGGAATCCCCTCTCTCTATACACAATTTTGTTCTCTTGTAATACTTAATAACATATCTTGACACTATTGCTATAAGGAACACATTTTCCCCAAAATGCAAATATGAGGGAAAGGAAAGTAGAACAAATGACTGAGAGACAAAAAAACTATATTCTACTCTGAATTCTGTCACTAACTGGCCCTGTATGTGCTAGAAAAGCTACTTTAACCTATGGATTTGTTTCCTTCCCCAGAAAAATGACAGGATCACCTAATTATACAAAGGTCTCTCTAGCAAAGAATGTCTATGACTCAGGCCGATAGAGAGAATATCTTGATCTATAATTCTCTTGATCATTTTTAAGCTACCAAAAAATAACTACTTGGTGACTTGAGATAGCATGTATTTTCTTTTTTCAGGTCCTCAGTAAGTTAATAAACATTTTATGGCAAAATATGAAGATAAATAAAAACTAAAAAGTACTCATTCTGAGCTACAAACAGCATTTGGAAGTATGCTCCCAGAGGCTATTTCCACTGTACTACTCCCATAAAGGACTTGTAAGACCTTTCAAGGAGACTGGAGGTCAGGATCACAGAACAGCAAGTTCTAGAGAGGTTTTTCCTATAATGAGGTTGAATTCTCTGGATAGCTTCCTTAACATATACTTGTTTTAATAAAAGCCCTCTTGATCTGAATTTATGAGCTTTTCTTGCCTGAAATGCTAAAAACAAAAGTGGGAATTAGAGGTACGAGGAAGACCTGATGGGGCTATGTTTGTTTCTGTTTTAGAGGGTTCTGGAGGACCTCCTCAAGCCAGTCAACCTTCTGAGTGCTTAAGCAGCTGCAGGAGTACT